GAGTTGGCTCTTCACATCAGGTAGCCAAAGTATTAGAGCTTCAGCTTCAGCATCAGTCATTTCAATGAATACTCAGGGTTAATTTCCTTTAGGATTGATTGGTTTGATCTCCTTGCTACCCAAGAGACTCTCAGGAGTCTTCTCCAGCACCACAGTTCAAAAGCATCAATTCTTCAGCGCTCAGCCTTCTGTAAGGTCCAACTCTCACATTTGTACATGACTAATGGAAAAGTCATAGCTTTAACTATACGGACCTTTAAACAAATCTATAATATATATTTGCAGTTCTTTCTGAGAAGAACAGTATTCAACCATGTCCTTTGAAGACCCTTAATCATGAGAATGTTTATCATGCAACAGAATTAATACTATGAATTAATTGTATGCATGATGAAGTTCAGTAAAAAGAAAGACCTGATTTAAATCTCAGGTTCACCTTATCCTGAACAGGGGACTTTACACAAGTTACTTGACACCTACGAGTGACAGTTTATTCTTCTATACAATGGGAATGGGCTTCCCTGGTGGCTCAGATGGTAAAGAATCCACCTGCAATGCAGGAAACCTGGGTTTGATCCCTGGGTTGGGAAGACTCCCTGGAGGAGGACATGGCATCCCACTCCAGTATTCTTGCCTAGAGAATCCCTGTGGACAGAGGAGCCTGGCAGGCTACAGTACATGGGGTTGCAAAGAGTTGGAAATGACTGAGTGATCAAGCACATAATGGGAATAGTTAACACCTAAATTTAATAAAAAAGTTTTCACACTTAAATAAGAAGTTTGCCATCTGCTTATACACTGTGCCCATATACAGGTGCTCTTCAAACATTAATAATCAACTCCATCCCCTTAGTAACAGCATATGCTAAATGGACCAAGTGGAGGAGATATTTAATACTGAGGAATGCACTGCTGATGGTGGAATTTCAAGCATCAGAGTACAGTAGATATTTTGAGGCAGAAAGGCATTCCCCTAAAAGCAACTGTTTATTCCATCAACTGGGACATTAAAAAAGGCTTCATGGTATTGTAAATATTTACAAAACACTTCAGGAAAAATGAGTTATTATACATTGATGAATTTTGGTTAAAATAAAAAGGTAGTTCATAAAATCCAACTTCAATAAGAACCATTCATTTCAACTACTCTAAAGCTTACTATGGGACAATAAAATATTAAGAAACAATTTTTCTTAAACTAATAAAACTACACTTAGAGGGGGAAAGATCAGACACAATTTTCATCAGGGCACATATCAGATTAAATTCTTACAATAGCTAGGTTTAAATGAGTTATTTTAAAGTTAACACTTAAAAACTGATATCTGCTTATCTGCTAGTGAATAAATAATAGACTACAAAACGCTTTTAAGATTCGCTACCACTGACAATACACTGCTTTATTCTATGTAATGGGGCTCAAGGTAATTAGTGTCAAGGTTTATCTAATTTTGTTTTTTTCTAATTATTGAAGTTTCAATAGTAGAGACATTAAAAGTTTTTCCATATCTACCTTGACCTGTTCTTGAATATCCTAGGATTTTTATTAATTTTCATTGATTTCAAACTAAATACATATTTCCTGAAAAGCAAGGAATACACAGAGGAAAAATTAGTATGCTTTGCAGAAAAGAAAGTGTTCCCACTCAGATCAATATCATGATACAAACTCAGAAGAGTGTTTCTTCATTCACACTTGTTTCTTCATCTGTTTGTTCCATGTAACACTTCCCTACCCCCACCCTCAAGTCTGTTTCCTTGGAGGAAAGAATTAAAACATGAAGGAAGGAACACGTAAGGCACATGGCTATATTGGTCAAGACAACTTATTCTAAATAATGATCAGTAGGAGAGGGAGAGCTTTGAGAGCTCAGTCAGGGCATTATGCAGACCTGTCTCCAAGGCATTTGAGAAAGTTGCTTTGTCCATGATTAACGTTCAGCTGAGATACACGGATATAGCTGAATGAGATCTGAGTGACAGGTATCTGCTCCAGCTGCTTTTGGCCCAGTATACCAGCTAGGAAATATTTTTATCCGTTCAGTTCAGTAGCTCAGTTGTGTCTGACTCTTTGCGACCCCATGGACTACTGCACGCCACACTTCCCTGTCCATCACCAACTCCCAGAGCTTGCTCAAATTCATGTCCATCGAGTCAGTGATATCATCCAACCATCTCATCTTATGTTGTCCCCTTTTTATTGCCCAGATTATACAGTCTATTGGGCTTCCCTGTGCCTCAGATGGTAAAGAATCTGCCTGTAATGCAGGAGACCAGGGTTCGATCCCTAGATTGGGAAGATGCCTTGGAGGAGGAAATGGCAAACCCACTCCAGTATTCTTTCCTGGAGAATCCCCATGGACAGAGGAGCCTAGTGGGCTATAGTCCATAGGATCACAGAGTTGGACACAACTGAGTGACTAACACATACAGCCTATTGGCCTAGGGTTGCAGCCAGTTAACCTAGACTTTCAGAGGCTTCCACTTAAAGTTTTATAAAGGAAGGTAGACAGAAGATACATCTTTACATATATGAATGCTATCCAGGTCCTGTCCACTGAAGTCATGCAAAGAAACTAGATTATTAGCGTCGATGTATTTCTCTAATTCTTTAATAACATCAGACTATGCCTGCAGACTTCAGAGTGGCCAACTAAGCATAAATAAAACTAGAATTATGATGGAAAAACAGAACAAAACCACAAGACTGAGGTTCAAATCCTGGTCTTTAATTTCATGACCGTGGGGAAGTTACTGACATTCTTTAGTCTTACATTCATCATTTGTAAGATGGAAACCAGACCATTTGCCTCACAGAGATGTTTTAAGATTAAATGATACTCTGTATGCCACAGTATTTGTGTACCAGACATACAAGAGATCAAAAAATGCCTACTGAATCTGGATCTATGCAGTATGGGACACACGGTTTACATTTCTGGGTTCACAATTTAAAAAGAAATTAAAGCTTTAAGAGGCAGAGGCAAAGACACCTTACAAGATTCAAATGTAACCTTAATACCCCACAGCCTACAGAAAGGGAAATGATCTCAGTTGTTTAACTGGACACTTTCTAAGAAAATAGAATTGGGGAAGAAAGTGTGTTAAAAAGGCAGAACCAAGAATTTTGGTTAAATAAAAATAAATTTCAAGTGCACATTATTAAAAATTAGCAAAGATATAAAATATGCAATTAGCTTCTATAATGAATAGATTACAAGGAATAGAGGTGATCACATCTCATTTGAAGATAATACAATTTCTAAAATCTGTTGTATATTGCAAATTCCCAGGAGATGTAAGAAAAGCTAGTAATCAGGAAACTGAAGTCCTTAGGAGCTCCAGCTAAGATTTCATATAGCTTAGGAAAGCAACTTTCATAATTTGGGCCTCAATTTCCTCATTTGCAAAATTAGAAGGTTTGGTTTTGAGTCTATCTTGGCTATAAAAAATGACTTTGGTCTATTATGGTTTATGGATGACATATATGGCAAGAATACAGAAGGCAAGCAATGAGAAAGTATCAACAATTACTTCCAGTGAGGAGGCAGAGGAGAAACACGACAGCATTATTACAATGCAGTAAATTACTACCTTGATGTAATAAAAACATAACAAGCAGTCTGAAATTTTTTAAGCAGCTTGACAAGATACTTACAACCATGAAAAAGCCTAACTATCTAGGTCACTACTTCACGGAGGCATAATCAAGTAACGATTACACATTCTAATGTATGGTAGCAAAATGCCACGCTTACCTTTTGAAGGTCATGTTTTACAGACAGCATGGGTATTTTTGACATGTTTTGCTTATGAGAAAGAATAAAAATATTTGCACTGTCGGAACAAATGGAAATCACCGCTAAGAAGAGAAGGCACTAAAAGATTTAGATTTTTGATGGGATAAGAAGTTCATGACTGACATGTCAATCATGTACTCTAGATAATGAAGAAATGCTTTCTAATCACCTGTTAATGGTTCATTATAAAAGCACTGGATATTTTCATGTAAAGATTAAGTAAAAGCATTTTTATGAAATATGACATGAAACACGGATTCAGAGCTGCCCACTTCTTCAGAGGAACCAAAATGACATATAATAAAACATGTATAAACAGTATAAAACTTAGAAGATATATATATAAGCTAAGTTCAATTTCTAACCTCATATTTTCTCACCTACAAATAAAAGCACTTAATTCTGAAAGGTTTGCCCTTAAAAGTCACTTCAAGACTAGGAACTTAGTATTTCCCATATGAAATAGCCATTTTCCAGATTATTTAATTTTTAACTTCAGGTACATGAATAATACTTTTTTGGAAAAAAACATGTAAATTCCTTACCTTACTCTCTGTCAAAGGAAACTGAAAAGTTTGTACATAAGAAAGGTTTCCTCGAAAACACTTACTTAACAATGACTAATTCAAAGACAGGCAAGATGACTCAATGAACAAAGAATAAATCAAGGAACTGCTTACTTGATGGAGGAAATAATCGATGCCACAAGTGACATACTTGAAATCTCATTAAGAGTGAGTCACACTAATAAGCCTCAAAAAAGTTCTAACACTGAGAGTTAAGAAAGAGCACACTTCTAAAACATATACACATCCTACTGTTATACCACAGTGGAACTTAAAGTCTTGGTTAGAAAAATGTGCCTCTGAGGCAGGCACTATTTGGTCTGTTCTCTTAATTGTAAATCGCAAGCAGTAGCTGAACCATTTAATCTCGTCAATAGAGGATATGTTTCCTTTACAAGAAAATTTATAAGAATTTTCAAGTTTGTAAAATAAATATCTATTTAATGGACTCTATTGATTGTTTCAACTCTGAGTACATGCAGAAATGCCAATATGACTGGAAGAAAGAATAAAATAAAATCCCTGTGTTACCATAGTCCATGTTATTTGTTCATATTTATTCATTCAATACTATTGATTTGTATGTAATTCCTATTACATTTTATGTGACATGGAGAACTACCCGCAACATTACCTGACAAGCAACGTGCACGAGGTAGACCAGCTCTGTAGGCTCGCAGCCGTTTTTTGTTACTTCATTCTGTTCTTCTGAAAGTGAAAGCTGTGTTGAGCAGAAAGGGTAAAAGAGAGGGAAAGAAAGTCATGATTAATGAACCAGAATATAATCAGCATTCAGTGATACTTGGGCCCTCACATCAATTTAATGTAACATATGCCTTATGTTAGAACTTTATTGCTTAAAGCAGATAGATAAAACGAAGTCAGGATTTTTAAAGAATGTTTCTACTTGAAAAAGAATAGCTACATGAATATGCATAACAGAATCATTTTGCTGTATGCCTGAAGCTAACGTAAGATGTAAATCAACTATACTCCAATATAAAATACAACCTAAAAAAAATAAATAAATAAAAATGATCCTAAAAATTGTCTTTGTGGCATGCATCTACACAAGCACAACTGCAGAACGGCAGTAAAAAATAAAATAATACATTCGTTCTATAGCAGGCTTTCATGTCCTTGATGTATAGCACAAATATGGAAGGAAGTTCAAGTGGGCCCCAAAAGACAGTATGACCAGTGGTCTCAGAGAGCAAAGGGTCCATTACAGGGACTGCATACTGGCTGCCCAGGGAACAGGCTGGGCCTGCAGACATGTTTTATTTCAGACTCATCATGTAGGTCTGCACACTGAATTTTATTTTATTTTTATTTGAACCACAGCTAGCATTTAGAAACTGAACGATTTCATATGAAAAAATACAAATTTCTGGCTCCTATTGAAAAATCTGAACCTCTGAACTATTGGACCCATATTCTCACATGGGCAACAACTGGCTGGAGCTGAGAAGTGACCATCCCTTTGAATGAGGCCTGTATTCTCCCAGAGACTTTGTCGCAGAAGCAATTACTGATTTATTTTTTGTTGATATCTAGGTGAAATGTTAATTACCACTCATCATGCTACTTGCTTTGTTATTTTTTTACACTGTACTCACTTCACTCATTCACTCACACATCTGTTCCATCTAGGGATGTGAATTTGCAAACTCAGCTCCAGATACAGACAACCGTGAGTTCAAAAGTACCACTAACTGGTTACATAATGTTAACCTACCTACCTAATCTCACATCTGGAAAATGAGAATGATACAATAACACCCATTTTCAAGTCTGTGCAAATGAGATAATGCATTTAAAGTGTTCACCAAGGGTGCTCACTTCGGCAGCACATATACTAAAACTGGAACGATACAGAGAGATTAGCATGGCCCCTGCGCAAGGATGGCACGCAAATTCATGAAGCGTTCCATATTTTTTTCATAGCCAGGACATGGAAGCAACCTAGATGCCCATCAGCAGACAAATGGATAAAGAAGCTGTGGTACATATACACCATGGAATATTAGTCAGCCATTAAAAAGAATTCATCTGAATCAGTTATAATGAGATGGATGAAACTGAAGCCCATTATACAGAGTGAAGTAAGCCAGAAAGATAAAGACCATTACAGTATACTAACACATAACATATATATGGAATTTAGAAAGATGGTAATGATAACCCTATATGCAAAACAGAAAAAGAGACACAGATGTACAGAACAGACTTTTGGACTCTGTGGGAGAAGGCAAGGGTGGGATGTTTTGAGAGAACAGCATGTATATTATCTAGGGTGAAACAGGTCACCAGCCCAGGTTGGATGCATGAGACAAGTGCTCGGACCTGGTGCACAGGGAAGACCCAGAGGGATCGGGTGGAGAGGGAGGTGAGAGGGGGGATCGGGATGGGGAATACATGTATATCCATGGCTGATTCATGTCAATGTATGACAAAAACCACTACAATATTGTAAAGTAATTAGCCTCCAACTAATAAAAAATAAATAAATAAAATAAAATTGTCAGAAATATAAATACAATTCTCTAATAGCAATAAAATATTTTTAGTTGTATACACTAAAAAAATAAAAATAAAAAAAATAAAGTGTTCACCAAGGTGCATGGCACTCAGTAAGCACTTAACAATCATTACCTATCATTATAGTTAATATTATAAGAAAATAAAGTTGACGAGAATATATTTTCTACTTTGAAAGGAATATCACTGAAAGTATTAAAAAAAAAAAAAAAAACAAAAAACTCCTGGTATTAAGTAGAAGAAATCTGGAAGATAACAATCATTCTCACACTAGCCAAAACTAGCCAGATTAACTCCAAAATGAGTTCCTTAAAAATTGAAAAGAAACCTACACAAGCTAAGTTGCAAACAGTGACGACAAGACTTTCCTGAGATAGAAGAGATTCCTATGGATGTGCTTGGATGCCTGGCAAGGATGCTGGAGGATGAGGAACCCGCCTTAGACAGGGCAGGGAGAAACCAGCCAAACCTCAGATGACTGCCTGTGGACTGGAGTGAGGCACTAAAATTCCAAAGACCCCTGTGCGGCAGACAGTCAGACCTGGGCACCCAGCAAGTGACTCCCACAGGTGTTCAGGTATCAACAAGTAGATCAACACACCAAAGCTGGGCCAGGGGGAGCGCGGGAGAACTGAGAGAGATGAACCTGTGTGTGACGAGTGTAGAGCCTCCCCAAGCACAAGACAGCTGAGCACTGGAGATGGAGAGGGCAAGAAAGCTGAGGCCCCGGGAACATGTAGTAAGGAGAGACCGGAGGGGCATAGAAAAGCTGAGAGAAACCCCATTGGGGCAACGCTGCATGAAGAGCATAGGCAGCTCCACACTAGAATGAGGGCAAGGGGAGCCCGGAAGAGCTGGAGGGCAAAGGGAACTAGAACCAGAGGGGCTGCTCTCCCTCAGTTCAGAAAACGGCTGGCTTCACAGCGGAGCACAAACAGACCTCAACAATTTTCAATCTTCCCTGCTTAAACAAACAAAAACCTCCTGAACTTATACTCAGAATACCTAGAAGTAACGATGAACAAAAGCAAAGTAAAGCTGCCAAAGGCCAGGTCTATATCAGGCTTCCCAGGTGGCTCAGTGGTAAAGAACGCGCCTGCCAATGCAGGAGATGCAGGAGACTCAGGTTCGATACCTGCCTTGGGAAGATCCCCTGGAGGAGGAAATGCCAACCCACTCCAGTATTATTGCCTGGGAAATCCCATGGACACAGAAGCATGGCGGGCTATAATCCATGGGGTCACAAAGAGTTGGACACAACGGAATGACTGAACACCACATCACCACCACAAGGTCTTTATCAACCACAGATCAGCCTGACTCTGCCCACTTCAAACATGACTAACACAATCTAATACAAGAATCTAACAGAATGGAAGAAGAAGGGATAAGCCCATTTCTGGAGGCAAAAATTATTGATTTTAGTCTCTACTATCTCTTATATAACATATTTGGCATAAAAAAATTACAAAATATACATGGAAGCAGGAAATTGTGATCCATGGTCAACAGAGGACATAACCTAAGGGACAGACACAGAAATGCCCCAGATATTGAAATAAAAAGAATTTAAATTAATTATGGTAGAAATTCTAAAATTTAGTTTGAAAAGATACTATGTAAGAAAATAAGAATACACAGAATTCTAGCAGAGACTAATCTACAAATATATTCAAAATAAAATGCTTCAAATAAAAACTATGATGTCAGATATTAATAGCAAACTGAACATAGGAGATGAAAGAATTACTGAACTTGAAAACAGATCAACAGAATGTATCCAAGCTGAGAGAGAGAGGAAAAAAAGAATGATCAATCCATCAATAACAGTATACTTGAGATCTCTGAGACAAGCAACATGTACAACTGGCGTACCAGAAGGAAATGGGATTTGAATGGGGCGGAGAAGTATCTGCTGAGACAAAAGCTGAGAACTTTCTAAAGCTGGTAAATGATATCAACTAACAAATTCAAGAAACAGTGAACCTCAAGTAGAATCAATTTCAAAAGTCACAACAAGGCATATCATAATCACACTTTTGAACAATGAAATAAAGACAAGAATCTTGAAAGCAGACAAAAAAAGCATATAACTTAAAGGGGAAAATAAATAAATGACAGGTGAATTCTCACCAGAAGTAAGAGATCCCAGAAAACAAACAGAAACAACTTTAAAGTGCTGGAAGAAAAAGACTGCCAATTCTGTATCCCATGAAAATAAGCTTTAGCAATTTTAGGAATATAAACACACTTACAAATGACAACAGCTGAGAGAATCTGCCTCTAACAGACTAGTGCAACAATAAAAGCTAATACAACTTCCTCAGATTGAAGGGAAATAGTATCACACAAAAATCCAGAACTTCAGAAAGGGATAAGCAACATCAGCAAGGGTAAATATGTAAGTAAACATACAACACCTAAATTCTCAACAGTAACAGACAGCAGAAGTTTGATACTAACTTAACAGTTCTGAGAAAAGAAAATAAATGAACCTAAGTGTTATTCAAACCTAAACATACAAGAAAAAGAGAGGGAAAAAAAGCATTTTCTGATGAATAAAAACAAATAATTCCCATCAATACATCTTCAATGGACTTCTAAAATGCGTCCTTAAAGATGAAAAAGAATTCCAGGATAAAGAAATAAGGTAAAAAGCAGAAATACTGAGCAAAGAATTCAGCAAATAAGTACTGTATCAAAACAAATCTTAATGTGTAACAAAAATGGTAATTATAAGAGATAAAGAGATGAAACTATAAATCCTAAACAACACAACCATGAAAGACAAGAAAGAGTAATTCTGCTTAAATCATTCTATCTGGTGCTGCTTGACAGGAGAGTAAAGAGACTGATAAACTTTAGACTAAAAATTAGGTGTTCAAGTTAAATTTTTAATGATAACCACTAAAAGGACAGAAAAACCCTCTTCAGCTTTCAAACAATAAAGAGGTAAAAAAAATTTTTAATGTCAATACCTGTAACAGAACTATGAATAGAAGCAAAATCAACCTTCCTAAGCAAAACAGAAGCAGGAGGAAGGAAGAAGACAGAAGGAGAGAGCAGATTTCCAAATTAAGGCAAGGAGATGCAGGAAAAGCAAAACAGCATAGTCAAATGGCAGCGGCAGCGACAAGACGGTGCAGTGGGCAGCTCCAAACTCCACAGAAACATGAAAAA